TTCGTTCAGAATGGAGAGGAGCAGGAGCTCATGTGAGCTGACTTTTGAGTCGACTCAAAAGTTATTTCGTTCAGATGGATGGAGCTCATGTGAGCTGACTTATTGAGTCGACTCAAAAGTCATTACGTTCAGATGGATGGAGCTCATGTGAGCTCATGTGAGCTGACCCAACCCCAGCAACTACAGTGGATTTGGATGTTTCAAATGCCACGCAAAGTAACGGCGGACCTTCGAACCACTATAGCGGAGCTCTACAGTAATAGAGGGTGAAAAAAATCTGCTACACCAACGCCGTTGCATCTGCAAAATACTAACACACATGGAAAACAGTAACCAGCTCACTTACGCACTGCTAAATATGGGACTATGCCATGCAGAGGCAAGCGTTCCACATTAGTAGCACCAACTACTGCCACTCTGCGTGCTGCGACAACGTTGAGCCCATCACTTTCGTCCTAAAGCACCTGCTTTTAGGCACGTAAGAAAGAGGCAATGTAACTTGCGCACGTGTAAGACACATTTTCATAGACGCAAACCCATAGCAAACAACGGCACAAAACATTACAAAGACGGTTATGGTGTGAGGCCCGTATCTGTCCGCACGAGTTATTTTCTCTCGGGCAGTCATCAGAAACCTCGACCCACCGACCCAACGCACCACCTAACTCTTCCAACCCCATCCATTTCTCCCAGCCCTTATTTCCCTTCCAAATTTTGAGTAAAGAAAACAAGGGAGGAATGCAACAGGTGAGAAAAGAGTAGTCGAGACGACGCTAGGTTGCGGTGGGTTTGCTTTAGGACGGTTGTATCGGAGCCGGCAGCAATTGCTTCTGCTGCAGCCCTTCTTTTCCCTCCCCATAGGCCCTTCTTTTCAAGTACACAGAATTCGAGGCGCGAGAAGGAGAGGGAAGGAGGGATTGCTAGGTTGCTGTGGGATTGCTGTGGGAAGAAGAGGGTAGTAATAGTATCAGTTAGAGCCAGCAGCAATGGCGTCTGCTGCAGCCCTTCTTTCCCCTCCCACAGGCCCTTCTTTTCAAGTACACAGTTTGAGGCTCGAGAAGGAGAGGGGGAAGGAAGTATGGACGCTACGTTGCTGTGGGATTGCTGTGGGAAGTAGAGGGTTGTATCAGTCAGAGCCAGCAGCAATGGCTTCTGCTGCCGCCCTTCTTTTCCCTCCCATGCAGCTCCTTGCAATGGCTGTAGCAAGCCTTCTTCTCCTACTCAACATTCAGCTGCCCCACTCAAAATTCAGCTGCCACACTCAAGTTAAAGCTGCCCCACTCAAGTTTCAGTTGCCCCACTCACATGGAACACACTTGGAGCAGCTCTTTCCTCCTCCATTCCTGTCTGCTTGCTGATGTCCATCTTGACCATCTTGTCCACCCTCCAAATATCACCTCCCACCCATAGCACGCCTTGCGCTGTGCACAGCAGATGTTCGACCTGCGAAGTTTCAAGTCCTCTTCTTTCTCCTTCTGCACCTTAACTGCGCGTCGCATTGCATGCTCCTGCCACTCCAGCCACTCCAGCCACTCCTCTGCGCGAGTAACTCTTCCCCCTCGTTTCTCACTCCTCTCTCCCCATCTGCACCTTAACAGGGTGTCTCTTCGCATGCTCTTGCCACTCCAACCACTCCTCTGCGCCCTAACGGCGCACAACACGCAAGGCGTGGCCTTCCACCCATAGCACGTCTTGCACAGAGCCCACCCCACCCTCCCCTTCACCCCCCCAACCCAGGGGCAGTGGCATACGCGCCCTTCCCGTCGCATGCACCGCACTGCACCCATCCGGAACCGTCCCCGCACAGCCCGCACCACCCGCCGGGCCTGCCGCTTTGGTCCGGAACGGGGCCGGCGCCGAACCTGCTGCCTTGGTTCGGGACGGGGTCAGGGTCGGTGAGCAGGCCGAGGGAGGGTTTGGGGGAGGAATCAGCGGGGGAAGCGGAGGAGAAAACCGTGCGCCAGGAACGCTCTGGAGATGCCTCTTCCGAACGACCCTCCTCCGAATGAACCTCCTCCGCGCATTTCCCCTTGACGCGTTCCTCTACCCCGGAACGCTGCCCCTCGTCCCCCTCCTCATCCCCCCTTTCCTTCCGCCTCTTCTCCGCGCGGTCGCCCTCCTCACCAAGCTTGGCTTGCTGCTTTAAGATCTCTTTCTTCTTCCCCTCCTTCTCCCACTTCCCCGCGCCCTCGCCCTTCTCCCTGACCTTCGCTCGCTGCTTCTTCTTCTTCCCTTCCTCCCCCCCTTCTTCACCGCGCTCACGCGCACCGCTCCGCCGGCCGCGGAGGCGGATGTGCTGGAGCAGGCGAGGGAGGGGAGCGAGAGGCGCTGGCTGCTGACGTGGCAGCTGCTGGAGTTGGAGAGGTTCGCCAGCCTGGCAGCCTGGGGAGGGAAAAAGGGGGGGGAGGGGGGAGAGGGGCGGGGGAAGGGGGTGGGGTGGAGTTGGGGGAGAAGGAAGAGGAACAGAAGAGAGTGAAATGACTGTGTAAGAATCGTGAAGCGTGTGGGCTAGGATGAAGTGGCTGGGACAGTGGAAGAAACAGGGAGAGGGAGCAGCCTGAGAAAGGAGCAGCCTGAAGGCGCAGCCTGACGGCCAGTCTACAAGCAAGAGAGAGAAACAGTGATGAAAATGAAATGAAGAGACTGCTCAAAGCCCGGAGTTAGATACCCTGTTGTTTCTAGCCATTGAGACGCCATTTGTGAGAGGGGCTAGCCATTAGTACTTGTTTGTGGACGTCACATTTCTCGACGTGACATTTCACAAATCCCGGTCTTTGAGGAAAGCAAGAATCGAAGGACGTATCGGCACCAAACATGAAGCTCTGGTAGGGACGTGGCAAGCACGAAGCAAGCCCGACTTAATGGTGCGGTGCTGGCCGCACTGACGAGAATTCTCGCTAAACCCTGCATTAAGGTCTCCACCCGACGCGGAATCTCGATAAGTTTCCCGGTAAGAAAATTCTGCGACTGCTAGAAGAAACTCGTGAGAACGAAGACACTAGGGCCTTGAAGTCAGAAAAACTCGCGAAAGCCTAAAACGATCCCGAAAACGAGGATACGACCAGGCATTCAGTGAAGAAATAGAGCCTCCAGGGATTGCCGTACGAACTTAATCTGCAGACTAAGAATCATCGTGTGCGAGTCGAAAAAGGAAAACGAAGGGGTTATGGACTAATATGGCCCTTCAACAGATGGCGACAATGTACTCGGGTTGAGAGACATTCTAATCGGTGAACGATGGTTCAGGACGGCTAATTCTCTTGACTGTTACGCTGGGAAATCTGGAACCGATGACGCGCGAGCGAGGACCGGAAAAGAACGACGCGACACAACAGTCGCGGGAACCATAAACCAACCGAACGCTGACAGCCTTGGCACAGCACGAGGTCGACGCTCCCTATTCCAAACCCCGCTCCCTCACCGTGCAGGCCGAGGCTTGCTGCAAGCAGGAAAAGCGACGAGGACGCCATGGCTCCGCGGGTGCAATCGGACGGTTGAACCAAGTGCAGCCTAAGTGGCTGAAGAGTTAAGTTGCTGCACTCTAAGAAGCCCAAGGTTACTAGAGTGAGATTAGGAGAAGCTGGAGAGGAGGGAGGAGGGGGAAAGGAATGGGAAGGGTAGGGGTGAGGGTGTGTCCACAAGAGTTCAGGACCACTCAAAACGGTTTCTATCGTTTCGCTGGGTTTTCAAAGCGGTTTCTAGAAGAATAGTTATGTAACTCGAGGAACCGCCCTCCACCGCGTGAAACGAACATTTGAATTAACTCTTGTGACTGTGGAAGAGGTGGTGGGTGGGGGGTCCTTGGGATTGGTCAGGCTGGATGTCTGGCTGAGATGATGGCGTGGAACGAGGAAACATGGAGGCCTCTCCAGAGGCGTTTCGTTTACTAGTGGTATTAGGTAAGAAATAATGGATAAGCAAGTGTTAGAATGAGTGGAGGGAGTGAATAAGCAAGTGAATAAAAATAACAGGTTTAGTAAATATCATGGACAAAATGCGTAAATATGTTATGATAGGAAGAGTTTCCAAAATAAAAAAGAAATCCTTGGATCTGAGACATGACTAGAAGCTGAAGGGATGGACAACATTCGAAAGGAGTCAATTAAGATGAAGGTTTTGCGAGCTGAGATATCTAGTTATAACACTGGGTATAAAAAAGAACAACGTTACAATACGGCTGAATGTGGCCTGCAACAAATGTCGTAAACTTTCTGTTACACGAAGATTCTTCCAGCAACGGTAAGGGCAAGTCCAAATAGAACATCTATGACTTGCTTTATGTTTCAAAGCATTCAAGAAGCAACCTAGAATAGTTGGGTAGGGTGTTAGCAAAAACGTACTATTTGGACCCGCCAAAGTACCAGTGTCGTCCCTTCCTCCTACCCACCTTCCTGTCAAATATATATTTTATGCTAATGTAGACTATATAGGGTTATGCCTTAGGGAGTACAACCCATTAGGTTATATTCCTTTGTATGCCTTGTTCTAGTCATTCTTTCACTTGAACATGGTATCATGAGTAGATAGATCCCCCCCCCCCCTCTAGCGCTTCCGCCCTAGGTCCTAGCCGTCTCGTCGCCCCGCGGTCCGTCACCTAGCGGCCCCGCGGCCCCATCCCCTAGCGGCCCCGCGGCACCGTCCCTAGCGGCCCCGCGGCCCCGTCCCCTATCAGCCCCGCGACCCCGTCACCTAGCGGCCCCGCGGCCCCGTCACCTAGCGGCCCCGCGACCCCGTCCCCTAGCGGCCCCGCGGCCCCGTCACCTAGCGGCCCCGCGGCCCCGTCCCCTAGCGGCCCCGAGGCCCCGTCCCCTAGCAGCCCCGCGGCCCCGTCCCCTAGCAGCCCCGCGGCCCCGTCCCCTGGCGACCCCGCGGCCCCGTCACCTAGCCGGCCTCGTCGCCTAGGCGGCCCCGTCTCCCTGCAGGCCCCGCCTCTTTGCCAGCCCCGTCGCCTTGCCGCACGCGGCCCCGTCTTCTAGATGCCTCGCCACCGTCCTCGGCTCCTCTGCACAGCGCTGCACCGCCCGGCACCACACGGCACCGCACTGCACTGCTCTGCACCGCACTGCACCGCCCTGCACTGTACCCTACCCTACTGCACCTCCCTCCACTGCACAGTACCGCTCTGCACCGCACATCACCGCTTTCCGCCACGCTCTCCTGCCCAGTACAGTCTTTCTCCTACTGCTGCAACCATGATGGCGGACTCGGTCCTGCGTTTTGATGTTAAGGGGAAGCCGATTGAGTTCGACTCGGCTCGTCGACCTCCAGCGACACCTGACTGGTCAGTGGCAGGACGGCCACTCCATGGCCGTCCATATCGGCGGTACGCTCCCCTGCCTGGACCCCCCTGCTGCCCTCCCCGCTGACCCCTTGTCTGCTAACCGTGAGTCCGCTGCAGTTGCTACCCTTGCCCGTGCTGTCTGGTTGTCGCGTGACGCTATCACACAGCTTGCGATTAGTCATGCCCTTCCCCTGTCCGAGCGCCCCCGCTTTAGGTCCATCAGGACTGCGCAGGAGTTCCTAGAGGATGTTGTTGCGCGCTATTCTACCACGCCCTCTGCCTCTGTAGGTCGCCTGATCCTGCCCATGCTCTTTCCTGACCTTGCGTCTCTCCCCACTGTCGCTGACCTAGCCGCCCACCTGCGCACGCTAGACACGACCTGGCGCGCTGCCTACACTGAGGCTCAGCTTCGTGTGTTTCAGCCCCCCATTTGCTCTACCCTCTACCTGCTTGCCACCCGCCTGCCTGACCGTCTTGCCACTACTCGCGATCACTTCCTTAGTCTCCACCACGCTGACCTCACCCTCACTGACTTTGTCGACACCCTGTCTGCCATAGAGACCCGTCAGCGCTCTATCGCCCAGTCTAGCGGTACCGTGCCAGTCTCTATCATTTAGGGCTGTGCCCCTGCTCAGTGCTCTTACTCCGATGGTTCTGTTGCGGTTGCTGAGACAGCTCCGGCTGTGAACACAGCCGCCGCAGTGCAATTTTGTCCGGGTAAGGGTCGCCGCCCCAAGGCTGGGAGTGGCGGAGGTAGCGGAGGAGGGAGTGGTGCCGGTGGTGGAGGTGGCTCGTCCGCTGGTAGTACTGATGAGGGGGCTGAGGCTAGTGCCCCGGAGCAGCCGCCCCAGCAGCAGCATGGATGAGATTAGCTCTGCTTTGTATGCGCTGTATGTTGATGACTCTAGTGTGACTGGTTCCTATTACCATGTGTTACCTAGCGTAGGTGTGCCCAGTATGCCTAGTTCAGGCTCCCCTGTTGCATCACGCGTAGGATCCCCTGCCTTGTTTAGCCTAGGATCCTCCCTCGCTCCTCTGACCTCTGTTGCCGCTGCCGCACTCTCCTTAACCCTGGACTCTGGCGCTTCCCAATGTTTCTTTCGCGACTCCACGACGCTTACGCCGCTTGCCGCTCCTGCTGCAGTTGCTCTTGCAGACCCTTCCTCCGGTCCTGTAGTTGCCCATAGCTCCTCTACTCTCCCCTGTCCGGCGGTTCCCTCAGGCTCCCTTACAGGCCTGCACATCCCCTCGTTCTCTAGGAACCTAGTTGGTGTTGGCTGCCTCCAGGACCTTGGCGTCACCACTACGTTCCCTGGGCACGAGCGGTATGCTGTCTGTACTGAGGCCGCCACTGGTGCCCCCTCACCACGTTCACCCTAAACCCTAAACCCTGGATCGTTCCCTGCGCTCCCCTCCTCACCCGCGCCTCCGTGCACGCCCTGTGTCAAGGGCCGGCTCCGCCGTGCCCCTCACTCCTCCTCGTTCCCCCCTACCTCCGCACCACTACAGACCCTACACATGGATGTTTGGGGCCCTGCCCCCGTCCATGGGCCGCGTCACGAGCGCTACTTCCTAGTGCTTGTCGACGACTACACCCGCTACACCACCGACTTTCCCCTGGAGCGGAAGGCCGACGTGCGTGACGTTCTTCTCCCGTGGCTTGTCTCTACGCGTGTTCACCGAGGTCTCCCTGTCTTGCGCCTTCACTCCGACCATGGTGGCGAGTTTTCCTCTGGCTGCCTTGGTCGCTTCTGTCATGCAGAGGGCATCACCCAGACGTTCACCCTGCCGGACTCCCCGCAGCAGAATGGGGTCGCTAAGCGATGCATCGGTTTGGTCATGGAGGTGGCTCGTACCTCCATGATCCATGCCGGTGCACCCCATTTTCTGTGGCCGTTCGCCGATTGCTACGCCGCTCACCAGCTGAACCTCTGGCCACACCCTCAGCGGTTGCAGGTTTCGCCGACCCTCCTCTGGACCGGGTCCCTTGGTGACGCGTCTGCGTTCCACGTCTGGGGCTGCCTTGTACACGTTCGTAGCCGCAGCCGCTGTCGTCACCGCCGCTGGGGTTCCTGCGTTCTGGGGGTGTTGGGGAGCAAGCTGGAGCTAGTTCTGGAGCGGGCTCTTGGGGTGTTGGCGTGGGGCTTCTCGGAGGGAGCCGTGTTGTTGCTAGAGGTTCGGGTATTGAATTTGGGCAGCAGTCGCAGCTGTCGCCGCCGGTGTCCGCTCTTCGCCTCCTTGGTCTCCTTCCCCTGACTGCCCGTTGCTGCCTCCCCCGCTGCCGCCGCCTCCTCCTCTGCCGGTCCACGGCCCTGTATTTCCTCCCCTGCCTGTCTTCAAGGCGCGCTACATCGCTCGAGGCTTCAGTCAGCGTGAGGGGGTGGACTTCTTTCAGACCTTCGCCCCAACCCGAAGATGACCACTCTTCGGGCGCTGTTACACGTAGCAGCACAGTGTCACTACGAGCCGCACTCCCTCGACTTCTCCACTGCTTTCCTCCAGGGCAGTCTACACGAGCAGGTCTACCTGCGCCGCCCCCAGGGCTTCTACGGTACCTTCCCCCCTGGTACCGAGTGGCTCCTCCGGTGCCCCGTCTACAGCTTGCAACAGGCCCCCCATGAGTGGCACGACACGCTGCGTGCTACACTTGCTGACTTGCAGTTCTTCCCTTCATCTGCAGACCCCTCGCTCTTTGTCCGTTCCGGCCAGACTCAGTTCTTCATCCTTGTCTACGTAGATGATCTGGTCTTTGCTTCTGCAGACAGAGACGCACTGGCCGCCGTGAAGGCCAAGGTGCTGAGAGGACACACCTGCACATACCTAGGAGAGCTGTGTCGCTACCTTGGCTTGCAGATCTCCAGGGACAAAGCAGCGGGCACCATCACTCTCTCACAGTCACACTTGGAGCGCCAGGTCCTTCAGAGGTTTGGCCTTCAGTTCTCTTCCGCACAGCCCACCCCTCTGTCAGTAGACCACAGACTCTTTGCCCCAGTCCCTGAGGAGGCCATACAGCCTAGTGGTCCCTACGCAGAGCTGGTGGGTTGCCTCATGTACCTGATGACTTGCACTCGTCCAAATCTCGCATACCCTCTCAGCATCCTGGCTTGCTTTGTGGCCCCAGGCAAACACCGACCACAGCACTGGTCGGCAGCTAAGAGGGTTTTGCGTTATCTAGCAAGTACATCGGGCATGGGGCTAG